CCGTGCTTGCACCTCCTGGGTCACAAAAGGGGACAAGGGACACAGACCTGCATGATGTCGGGGTCGACGTAGTCAGCTACGTTATGGCCCTCCCAGATCTCGGGTATCTTATCGTGCTTCTCAGATGAATTCATGATATCCCAGTACTCTACAGGTTGGAAACGTAACAAACAGCGTTCGCAACGGCTTTCAGTGTCGTCAGCCACTACGCGCTGGCCCGAGCCCCAGCCTGTGCTCCACACCAGGTGAGCAGACGCTGACATGACCGGAGGACCGCCCCACACACATCCCAGGGCCTGCTGGGGCCTCAGGACCCAGTGCCCAGGGGAGGAAAGCCAGGGGCACGGACGGCAGAATCAACGCCAACAGCCTGCTCAGAGTTACACACTCTGGAAGCTGCAGAATCATGCCTCAGCCTGAGAGGACAGAACACTACCTGAAGGGAGAACCCTCAGGGCCCTGGCGGCAGGCCACCTCTCATCTCTAGGAAATTAAAGCAACAAGATGCTGGAAGACTTCCAAGCATTCAGTCCTTGCACAGTTTTCTGAAAACCTGACACACAGCAACTGTCACATGTGAGCCCTTACTCTGAAGATCCAAGATGTAATCATCTCCCATTTCCAGCTCAATATCCCGCTCCTGCAACGAAAAAACAGCTTTACTCAGCTCCACGTGGCCTCTCGGGTCCAGAACTGTTAAGCCCCTCCCGTCCCTGTGAAGTCACCCCTTCTCGAACCTCAGGGCCAACCCTCTGGGCCGAGGCTCAGCGCCGTCTGTGGTTCCGCCACAGGCGGACCTGTCGTCTGCACCCAGGGGTTCCCGGCCAAGGCCCCATCGTGCTCTCCAACAGCAGGCCCGTGGGAGCCCCATCACCTACCCGCTTCCTCTTGGGCTCCCCGAGCTCCATCCGCCTTCTGCGCGCCACCACGCCTTCCGGGATGAACGGGGGCCGCTCCTGGAGGAGACATCATTGGAAAGAACTGTGTGAACGCCTCACAGAAGAAACAGAAGCGAAAACCTGTAAGTAAATCCTTCATCTGCAAAGGAAACGCAAAACCACACCCAGACCAACGGGAACCCACCAGGTGACTTAGGGCAGACGCAGGGCCAGTTTGGGCACGGAGTTCCTTAGAGAAACAAAGGCAAGATTATCAAGAAAAACTACAGGTGAGGAAAGCAGCACATGAGGAATCCAGCAGATGCGCGAACGAGAGAAAAGGAGACCGGAGCCCCAGCACACGGCCACGCAGCGGGGAGACGCCGCTCAGCCATCAGTCCCAAAACGAGCGAGGAGCTTCCTGAGGCCCAGAGAAGCCCACGACTCAGCGAAGCCTTGTGTTCAAAGCAGGTGAGATCAGAAAACCTACACCAAAGTATGGAATAAAAACATACCTTTAAATAGTATTTTTAGAATGAACGGCAGGCCTTTCTATGTACAACACAAAGCTCAGCAGCCACTGGGTAAACAGCAGCACACGCACTGACAGCTTCACCCGGGTCAACGCTCTGAGGCAACAGGGATTCCCCAGGATGGAAAAGCAAGTGAGGAGAGGGGAACGATGCACAGACCACGCAAGAGGCTGATCTCCTTAACGTAAAAGTTACAAATCGAGGGACACGAGGCAACGCCGAGAAGTGAGAGGGCAAGGAAGCAGGTTAAAACCGCTCAGCCGTGCCGGCCACTGCAACACACGCTGCCCCACATGACGACCACCAAGCAGACTGCCACGCGGAACACACCAGTGGGTGTGGCTGCCTGAGGCTGCAGTGCAGAAACGTCGCTGCTTACAAGGTAACTTTCACTTTGGGGGAAAAATGTACTGAAAAAAATTACACTGAGAACTGGTTTAACTTCCTGCGAAGAAACATGGTAAAACTCACTAACAACAACGTCACTAACAGTCACCTTCATCAGCGCCTAAAGCGGGGCACCAAGAATCATCGCTGAAGAACGGATGAAACACAGGGAACATTAAAAAAGAAGGAAAGAAGAAACTAGACTAAGAACAGAAGTGCGGGTTCTCAAACCGTCCAGGCAGTATGAACCAGCAACACCTAGTGGAGGACAGTGGCACCTTCTGTGCCCGAAAGTTCACTCCACAGATACACCTGCTGTTAAAGACAAAGACCTACATATAAACACATACCCCTGAGCACTGGTTTCCAATGGCAAGAAAATGAAAAATTTGAAAGAACATAACGTGTTCCCATGTTTAAATTTTTTTTAAGAAGCTTACATGCCAAACCATTGTTGGAAAGATAAACGAGAGTTAACAGTGACAGCCTCTGGTGGCATGAGAAGCAGGCTTCACCTCGGACTTCAAACCCTCTCCCTCTGACCTTTTTGACTCTTTCCAATACACACAGCATAATTCTTAATCTGAGGAAGAAGCACCACCACCCGTGAAACCCACAGCCTGGACGCCGGCTCGCGGGGCCCCACCACCTGCACCCGCCACGCACCCCGACCTGGACGGCTCGGACGGCGGCCTTACCTTATCATCTCGTCTGTTGGGAACAGCTAAGTGCAATCTGTTCAGCACCTCGTTCACTTTATTTCCTTTCATTTTGGTTTCAACTCGATGAGCCAAAAGCCGGTCACAAGCCTAAGCAGGTGAGAAACGGCGGCACCGGTCAGGGCATCCCACACGGCCTTCTGCTGCGGCTGGAAGGAGCCAGCGACCCCAGGTCTGGAACTCGCTCCAGTCCCCTCAGTGGTGGCACCTGACACCGAGTCCTCAGGGCCCCAAGGTTCAGGTAACTGCCCTGGGGCTGACCGCCTGCGCCGGTGGGTGGGGGAGGGAGGGGGGACTGGGAGGAAGGGAGCGTCTCTCCCTTTCCGGGCCAGGTCAGCCCGAGGCAGGACCCCAGGTGTCGAGACTGAGTGAAGGTTCCCTGGGGTGGGAGTGTAAACACTGCTCCAAACCCCACAGTCACTGGGTGTGTGGGGGACCCAGGGAGCCCCTCCTGCCCGCTGCTATGGGCTCGGTGTTAGGAGCACTCTCCAAACAAGAGGGACAGGAAAGGCCCCTGCCTGTGAGAGAACTGACCTCTGTTTTCACTTTAATAACCCCTTCCTCTGTCAGGGTGCTGGTCTCGATCACAGGAAACCCCTCAGCCTGCAGATCGATAAATATTTTCTAGGAATACAAAGGGAAAACGAGGAGTGTTATTTATTCCCAGTTCCCCACGAACAATCTTACTGCTCCTCAAACGGGTGCCATAAATGCTAATCATAATTAACACAACACCTGCGGTTTACCTCTTTTGAAAGACAGCTACCCAAAACAGTTACCAATTTCTCCCCAAATTCTACTATGATTAAGAAAACACAAAGCCCTAGGAGGATCAAACCAGACAGGCAGGCAAACTAGAGGCTCTCTGGACACTGAAACACCTCCCCTTCCGAAGAGCCTCAGCAAAGCCAGGGCGTGGGACCCATGCGGAATGTTTCCTACATTCTTTCTTCCAAAATACTCGGTCTCCACAGCCTCAGACAGTTCCTCAGAAAACAGCACGGTGGCGTTTATGAAACCAGCTCCGTCTGAGTCACCAGGACTGAGAAGGGACTGCATCTGTGCCCCTCCTGCAGGCACGGCCACGTGACCACGGTCACTTGCAGGTGCCCAGACCCATGACGCAAAGCCCCCCAGAAACAGCAATCAGACCACTGGGCAGCACAGGGCCCACACCAGACACCTGCACCACGGCCCCGGGACTTGGGGGTCCGCACAGGCCACCGACCGCGTACCCGCACAGCCGCACAGCACCTGCCACAGCTGCAGGCAGGAGGCTGGGACTCGAGCGCGTCCAACCTCAGAGCCCCAGCTCCTGGGACAGCATTCACCCTGACCTTGCCGTGTCTCCAACCCTCCCCGCAGCTCCGCTCCAGTGCTTCCAGCCTGGAAAACAGTCCCTTCAAAGACCAGAGACTTCTGGGACAGCAGCGTCTGTCTCATTAGTAACTTAAGGGATACATCGCAGGGCTCCCAGGACACCAGAACGGCTGTTTAGAGACACTGAATTCTTACCAAGGATGAAGTTTCCAGAGCACACAGAGACCCAGAGGAGGAAGTCCAGTCCCCCTAGAAACCCCCTACTCAGACCTGGTGGAGGGGACGCCCAGAGACACGGCCCGGCGAGTCTGCTGGTCTAGAGAGCGGCTCTCGAACCTGAGCACGCGCCCCGCCTCCCAGGGCCAGATCCCAGCGGCCCAGGGCACCCTGGGGCAGCCCGGGCACCAAGGAACACATGGAACAGCAGCGTCGGGGACCGTGACAGAGAAGCACGTACTCGGGCACACCTTCTCCAAGCGTTCATCCTGGAGAACGCCCCTCAGAGATGGATACAGGGTCAGAGTGCCAGAGAACCCAGGGCTGACGGCCTGACGGCCTCTTGGAAAAGCACAGCACATGCGACCCCATGCCCATGGTCTGCAGACGCTCCTCCACCTCACTCACTCAGTCCCAGGTGTTTCGTGAGAGCCTGTGCCCAAGCACTGAAGTAACACCTGACAACCTCCCCCCATGCAAGGTCCTTCTGCAGGCGCTGCTCCAGGCACCTGGCCACCCCAGGCCCGGGAGGGAGGCGGACCTCGAGGGGCTTGGCTTGCTTTAAGCCCCGACGTAAGAGGTGGTGCTTCCTAAGGAAGCTCGTCTCCCAAAGGCTGCGTGTCCGGACCAGACGCACACATCTCCCCAGAATCGGGAGACTCCAGGTTTGGTTTGCCTCTACTGGGTTTCCATCACATCGTGGGGCTCACCCACTGAGGGTATCCTCTCAACTGCAGGGCAAGAACCGGGCCAGCCCTGCTGAAGTTCCCTCTAAACCGCGGCTGTCGGAGGTGAGATTCAGAGTAGCAAGAAATGCAGGACTCACCCGGTCGTCCTCAGGGAGCTCAGCCACTCTCCGCACGTCACACTTGTTCGCGACGACGATCAGAGGCTGCGGCAGGGAAGGAAGACAGAGGAGTCACCACCTCCCCACAGCAGGTCACCAGCTGTGACCTGGCGCCATGCTCACCTTGTTGACGAACAGGGGCCTGATGTTCTGGAAGAGCTCCAGCTGCTCCCGCAGCCCGTGCCCGCACTGCTCCGACAGGTCCATCACGTACAGAACCGCGGCACGCAGGTGGGCCAGGGCCGTGATGGCCTGCATCTCGATGGTGTTCCGATCCTCCAGAGGGTGGTCCAGAATCCCCGGCGTGTCCACAACCTGAGGGTCAGACGCATTACTCCGAAGTACACATCCTCACAGACCTCTGCCCGTTCACAATCCCAGATCCGCCCCAACAAAACTGGCAGAAGAAATGCAGGCTTCCCAACTGACCGGGGTGAATAAACAAAGCAGCCAGGGAAAACTACACATTCTTTAATAAATACTGGGGGGTCGGGGGGCCTGCAGAGGGTACTGAGGAACTAACTTGCCAATGACCTTGACAAGGACTCCTCTGTCCATTAGAGGACGTTAACAGAAAAACTGGCATAACCTAGCCAACTCCCCATGTGTTAGAGTCATCCTCCCATTATGACACGAAATCCAACCACGGAAACAGGCTGCCTTTCTAACTACAGGTCAGACACACCGACAGGACCTTCAAGCACCGTGCTCAGCGTAATGCAGAACGCAGACTCCACGGTGGGGGCTGGTCGCTCTCCTGATCTCACCCGAGAGGCGGGATCAGCCCTCATGCAGCCCCAAGGCTCACATGAGCTTCTTCTCCGCGGGGCTGTTCCCAGACGTGAGCCGGGAATCCATTTCCCACCCCGAGTCTTCCCTGCGACTCTGAGCGCACTGGGACGGGGACGGGCACTAGTTCTTGGGAATCACCAAAATCAAACTCCGTGAACAAAGGCAAGACATCTGTTCCTGTCACGAGCTCTCACCTGCCAACGCAGGTACTTATAGTCCATGTGCCCGACAAACAGAGACTTGGTGGTGAAGGCGTAGGGCTGGACGTCCACGTCCGCTCTCGTCACCTAAAACAAAGCCACAGCTTCCGTCATGCAAGGCCCGCGCTTCACTACCTCTCCAAAGCGCAAACGGTCCGACACAGTCAACAGTGACCCGCTGGGACCACTAGCCCAGAACAGGCCAAGAGAGCATGCTCCCGAGTTAATAAAACGTACTTAAACGTCTCAAACCCCTTAGAGACTTGTCGGACACGTACAAGACTCAAAAATAAAATGGTTTCTGTTACAGCAATATAAACCTAGGCTCAGAGCCAATCCTCCCTTCGAGGAAAAGAGTGTCTCAAGCCTAGGGCAGCGCCAACTAAGGGACGAGCAGGGCGGCCACCTCCAGCCCAGTCAGGTGCTCGGTGCCCGGTTTACCGCTGGGCAGACCAACCTTGTTGATGAAGCTGGACTTGCCGACATTCGGGTACCCACACAGAAGCAGGGTCCTTGTGTTCGGGTCAATAGTCGGCAGACGGGACAGATGCTGACGCACTGTGAGTAGGTGAGGTTAAACATGCTTAATTTTGTGAGAAAAATCCAGAAACTCAAAGTTAAGATTTGCTCAACTCAGCTACATACTCCAGCTCCAACACTGAGAACATAAGTGATGGAGAAAATATGAACGAATGGGAAAAGCTTAGCTGCAGAGGCACCGGGCAGGCAGACGAGCATTCCCAAATCAGCTGCACCAAGAACCCCGTTCCCAGGCCCTAGCAATACGGCACTTCTATCCCACAGGTCCAGGGTGAGGCCACAGCCACGTGACCCAATGACTCGCATTTAAAAGTGAGATTATGCGGAAAAGCCTTCTCAGAGCGAGTGCGCGTGCCAGCACTTCCAGCTGGGCGGCAGGCTCCTTCCACGTAAAGCTCAGGGGCCTCGTCTGCATGCACGCTGCTCCAGCAGCAGACAGCACCGGGCCACCCTGATGACCGAACAGAGCTCGGAAACTCTGTCCAAGCAGCCAGGTGTTACAATCTGGCCCCAACTTATTTGCAAGAGGCTGGGGAAGGGGGATCAAAAGTCAGTCAGTTAAAAACATCTGAAGTGTAAAAGTATGTGCACATAAAAAGCAGGTAATTGTTTCAATAAAAATCTTCCTGTGTTAACTCAGAAACTGCCCTCCTGAATAAAACCGTAAGGTAACAAAACTGGAGGAGCAGTTTGATGCTCACATACTTTACAAACAAATGTGTTTCAAAAAGACTTAAAAAGTCAATAGGTAAAACTATGGATCACTTCTTTACTTTTATGTGTGTTGGTATTTCCCCATGATTTATAACACATACGCCTTACCTACTAAATCTGAAAAACAAGTTTTCTTAACGCTGCTACAAATTTGTAAGCGTTATAAGTGCTAGTTGCTTTTCCAATATCTGGCCTATGAGAATTTCTTAGAGGCTGGGCCAGGAAAAACAGTTTGACCCTCTCATCTCCAAATTAAAACAATAAATAAAACACCTCAGAAGTCACTTCTCGACAAGGACCAGGCCCGCGGTGGAATGCACTGGGAACCGCTCTTGCGGATGCACAAGTACCTTGTTCCAAGTACTCCAGACTCTGCTTCTGCCTCCGCACGATGGTGCACATGCGCCCGAGGGCGGCACGCTTCAGCTGCTTGCAGCGGTACAGGGAGTCCCCGTACTTCATGAGCCGCACATAGTCCTTAGCAACGCTGAGAGAAAGGAGGAGAGACGTGTGAGGCTTCCATCACTTTTAACAGTAACTTAAAAGACATAATGTTAAGAAAATGCCTTACTTGTCCACTAAATTTTTGGCAATATTGATTTGTCCCAGAGCCAGCTTGTAGTGATCCTTGTCGTAGAGAATGTTCATCAGATCCGCATAGAATGGATGGATGTCCTATCACGAGAAAAACAAAGCGGTCACCTTGGTACAGCAGTTTTCCACGCCGATGTGCGAATAACACTCGAAGAATAACTTCCAGGGAAACACATCACACCCTCTCCTCTACTCAAGCCCCCAGTGTCCCTTCCTTGGTCCTCTCCCCTAGATAACGACTGCTCAGTTCACAGAGAAAAAAGGGTTCAGCAGGGAAGCCAAGCCCAACGGCCCCTCCACCTGCCCGTCTGGCCTGTGCAGACCCAGCCACGGCCCAGATTCACATGAGCACCAAGCCTGTCTGAGCGGGAAACTTAGGAACTGGGCCCCAGAAGTTCTTCCTTGTCCACCTGGCCATGATCATCAACCTGCGAACAGGCTATTACTGCCCCAAAACCTAGAAAAAAGTTTTAAAACTCCCTTGAACCCACAATCCTTCCTTCTCTCTGCTCTCCTTCCCGGCGAAGGTCATGAAGAAAGGTTTCCTCCACAGACCTGCTCCCCTTCCACATCACGGCCAAGGGCAAATCCACTGGTTCCTCCTTCACCAGATACCCTGAAGGTGGCCGCTTCTCAGCTCTGTCACCACCACCAGGGTCTGGTGGCTGCATTCACCCCACAGGCCAGTCCTCCTCTTCAAGGTAAGTAACACGAGGCTTGTCCTGAAGGTTCCCCACAAGTCGCCTGGCCCCACCCACGGGCTCCATGCCCCACCTCCTGGCCCCTCCGTCGCATACCCCTGCTCTTCCTCCTGGACCTTCCTGTTCCCTGAAAACATCACTGTTTCTGTGCCCACAGTGCTCTTCTCTGGATGGCCGCATGCCCACCTCCTCACGTCCTCCAGGTCTCAGCTACAGCCTCCTGCTTGGCCCCCTCCACTCCTTCGTCATCCAACACGCACGTACTCTCATGTTGACTCTCGCAGTCCCCTCACCAGGCGGGACGGGCCTGTCAAACTGCTGCTGCACTCCTAGCGCTGAGGGCAGCACCCACGACCGAGCAGTCATTTGATGAATGCCAACTTCCTACAACAGTCTACTCTAAAACTCTTCTCCGATGATTAACTTCTTTAGTTTGCAAAAAAAGGGGAATAGAATGTTCATAAATTTGAACCTCTAATGTATTCAAAAAGGATACCAAGGATGAAAAAGATAAAACTTCCAGAGAACCACAAAAACCTGGTACTGATTAGCTCAAAATGTTTTGTTTGCTCAGATCAGCTGTTTTCTAGTCTCGCCAGTTTAGGAAACATTCTCACTCCTTTTTCGTCCTCAGGTACTTTCTGAAGCACTGTACTTCCCCAAGAACTTACATACTCATCCAATAAGTGTCACTGAGCCCCTGTCAAGCCCTGGAAGTCTGTGAAACCAATTTCTATCGCGTAAACCAACCTCCGCTCTCTGCCATAACCTGCCTTCAAGGACTACTTCAGGGCAGCGGCAAACTTAAGGCTCTCACACTGTACTGGGGACCCCACATGGGGACCTAACGGGCAATGTCCGCTCCTGCTTCCCTTGGCCAGATACATGGGCAAACTGCACCTTGCAGCAGACTGCAGAGTTCAACAATGGGGGCTCAGGGCTCCCCACAAGACTTTCTCTTGCCAGTGAAGAAATCACACAGACCACCATCAGCTGATGAAGCAACAAGATCACAAACACTGGTGGGCTTCAAGCCATGGGCCCCACCTGAGGTCACCAGAAGAGGAGCCTTGGAAGGAGGGAGAGGACGCTCAGACCAGCAGGGGAGCCGCCAGAACCATAACCATGTGAGGGTCTCAGGTTTCACCCTCGGCTGCTTTCAGAGCTCAGGTCAGCCCTGCGAGCCCAGCTGACAAAGAAAGCCCGAGACAAAAGCTTTGGGCTTAGATGGAGTTTGACTGGGAAAACGAAGAATAATAAAGAAACAAAACACCTGTGTTCTGTTCCCACTTCTGCTACTCACTCACTCTGTAAACTCTTGACAAGTCAGTTATTTTCTCTTTCCTTCATTATCTGTCCAATGAGTAGACCAACTGGCTTAACACTGACTGTCTGAAGGTTCATACTCACATAACCATTTATGCCCCCCAGTCACTTACATCCAGTTTGGGAAAATCCATTAGAATCTGTGACAGTCTGTCATGGTAATTCTGCTGAGTAAATTTGACTTTCCTCATATAAAAATGTCTGATGCGATGGATTTGGTAATGTTTATGAATAACTGTTGGAGTCTTTCGTTGAGTCTTCGATAATGTCAGGTCAATAAAGTCCTGAAGTTAAACAAAATAAAACATAGTTACACCAAAAATATCTACTTTCATCCACTTATTTGAAACCTTAATAAAAAATCAGTATCTAGTAATACCGTATCTTTTAAACTGCAAACTACAAACACTTTTTTCTGACTAAATCTGCAATGAACAACTTTTTTCTTCATTATAGTTTCTGGCCTTTTAAAAACACTCAGCAAACGGCTGCTAAATAAATTTTATCCCACACTTTCTTGATGTTCTCCTAATTTCCAAACACCTAAAAACCTCTGGAACCTAAGTAGCCAGACAACTCAAGCATAAATCAGAGAAAATATTTAGAAAAGAGAAGCAGTTTGCGTATCTTTGGCTTTGAAAGTACATAAAATAACAGACAAAACTAAAACCCATTACTTACAATTTCCTAAGGACAGAAAAACCCGAGGGGCCCTAATCTCTGAAGGACCCCCATCGCCAACTTGAAGGCTCTAACGTCTGAGGAAAGGCCCTAACCCCCGAGGAAGCCCTGATGTCTGAAAAAGGACCCCCACCTTCGGGGGGGACCTGGAACCCCTAACCCGGAGGCCCTCGCCCGACAGAACGCGGCCTAGGAAGGGGGCCTGGCGGGAGAGGCGGACCCCTTTCCGCCCAGAGTTACAGACCGGACACCCCTTCCCGCGACCCGGCCGAGAAAACCGAGGGCGGAAGGCCTCCTTGGGGTCGCCTACCTTGGCGGACGGCACCACGGTGATCTTCTTGAAGTTGTAGTGCGCCATGCCGGCGACCAGCCACGAGGGACGGCGGCGCGGACTTCCGCCTAGGGACGGCGGGTGGGCGGGACTTCCGCCGGCTCCCGTCACTTCCGGGAGCTCCCCAAGTCAGTCCACGCACGGCCTCGGCGTCGCACAGCGCCCCCGCCCGGCCGGGGGCGGGGTCTCGGAGCCTGGGTCTGAGGGTGCGCGGGGGCAGCTGCGAGGTTCAGTCCCTGCCGGGTTAGGGGGGAGGAGTTCTGTCAAGCCTGCCTGGAGTCTGTGCGCCCCCGACGGTCACCGGCTCCAGCGCCCCGGGGGCCCAGGGGGCTCGGGGGTCAGAGGGGCTCGGGAGGCCCCGGGGCGCCGGGGAGGCTGGGGCCTGGGGGCCCGCGGGTCTCGGGTCGCGGCCGCTGGCGGGGAGCGCGCGGGCCGGGCGCCGCGGAGAAGGGCGGTGCGCGCGGCTCTGCGCTTCGTGCGCCCACGCCCCGCCGTCTCTCCGCTTGAGAGCGCGACGTTGAGGCCGAGTCGTCCGCACAAGAGGGACGCGGCTCCCCGCCGGCCTGAGTCCGTCCTCTCGACCCCTGGGGCCCTGGCCCTGCCTGGCCTGAGCCTTAGGCCTCAGGACCGCTCTCAGTCATCACTTTCCCTTCTCCAGCTCCTTTCAAAGCCCCCTGTATACTCCTCACGTCTGTTATTCTGGCTCTTGTAGTGTCTCTGGATCCCTGACCTTGGCTGACTGACCCCGCCGCCTCGCCCTGAGTGGAGCTCGACCGGTGGCCTTTGCCCCTCGCGCTTTGCTCTGCCTCCCCAGAGTCTCACCGAATGCCTCGTGTGGACCATGCTGATGAAACAGACATTTCCAATCAATTGTGCAATGTCCACTGCGAGATTCCAGATATGCCAAAGGCAGCATTTCTGAACATGACAACCGCTGATCACCGTCTCCCTCTAAGGCAGTCCATCCTCACTGCCCTGTGCGGGAGGACAACGCCTCCCACTCGCTCGGAGACTCCGGGAGGCCGGCAACCGCCCCCAGCCCAGAGTGGGGCTGACCCGCTGGAGGCGTGAAACAGCAGAAGGGACAAGGTGTCCGGGGCAAACGTGAGGTCAAGCCAAAGGAGATGGCCCCAAAGACCTGGGAATTCCCAAGGACAAAGGGCAGGGGAGGAAAAGCCCGCCTAGGACAAGGCTGCAGTCAGCTCTGCTCGGTGCACTGGGAGCGACAGGCGGCGGGTGCAGACGGCCCTCTGGAGTGAGAGGGCATTTGGACACTGACCGCTTCTGCTAATGGTGTGGCCACTCCGTCAGTTACATCCCATGGTAACCTTACGCCTCTGCGACCAGATGTCAAGCGCTGTTCAGAGCACTGGCCCACATGGTGGAGTGGGTGGGGAAACCCCCGCACAGCAGGGCACGGAGCTCGCCAGGGTCATGCAGCTAACAGGCAGCGGTTTGAACCCATGGCCTGGCCCAGCCTCTGCTCTTGACCACCAGCCACTCTGCTGCTCAGTTATCTGGGGTCCCCTCAACTTCTCAGATCCCTTTAACAAGTCCTCTCATTCTTACGTGAAAATGTCTCTCAAACTCCCAAAATTCCAATACCGAAAACAATTTTGAATTTTGACTCTCTCGTCTGTTATTAACTGTACTGCCCGTTTTTGTGTCATCGGTTAGAGAAGCCCCGGTGTCTCTGTGGCACTTTTACTTCTGGAGGAAGCCTCTGGGATAATTAGGATTCACTCTCATCACTTACTAAGCCCTGGACAACTCTGCCCACGATCCCTGAGATTCCGAGTCAGGCCCACACCCTCTCTTCCTCAGGGACTGTGTGTTCCCTCAAGCTCTCCCACCCCACCTCATTCTTATATGGCCGGTTCCTCTTTTTTTTAAATACAGTATTTAGTAAGTTCGGCCAATCTATTGCTACAGGCAAGCCACTAGCCTTTCTCTAGCTCTTAACTCTAGGAATAAGTGAACAATCACATTTGTGTAGGACTTCAACATTTAAAAAGTGCTTTACTCTTTAGTGTTAATAATATTCTCAACAACTTTGTGACGTGGCACTAAACCAAGCTCAGAGGCTTGCTTCTCCCCAAGGACGCTCCGAGTGACAAGCAGGACCCAGGCTCTGCTGCAGGCCAGGGTCTTTGCAGTTGTCTCATAAACACAACCATGTATTGGGCAATGTGTGGAAAGGACAGAATTTTTTAAATGATAATAAATGAGTGATTTTCTTGGTTTTATGAAGCACAGCTTAAGTCTACTTGTTCAACAGAAGAGGAACCATTCGTTAAACTAAGAAGACCCTTGAAGAAGAGAAAGTGCATTAACATTCCTCTGAAATAATCATGTTAGAGGACTTTATAAGTCCTATCAAGGAAAAACTGACAGGTCTTTGATATTTTTACTATTTGCCCACAAATTTTGAATCACATTTGCCTAAGCCACTTAATAAACCCTCATCCTGGTGAAGACCCCTGCACCTTCCAGCTGCGTGAGCTGTGACAAGTGACAGCCCCTCCGAGCCCTCGTTCCTCTTTCACAAAGCGGAGGGAATAACGCGCACCCCGTAGGATTGTCCGGGGGGGGCTAATTAAGATGTGTGCCAAAGCGTAAGGTGTAAAGTAAGATGTACTCATGTAATGACTGTCATTATCACAAGTTTATATGAAAACCTCACTGGGTCGGCACAAGGTCGTGATCTGAAGTTGCCATGAAGTGTATCAAATGCTGAATTTCTTATCAGGGATTCTCTGTTCCCACATGTGGCAATAAAAGCATCCCTTAGTCCCGTAGTCACGCAGAACCCGAGTTGTTTGCCAGCTTTCCAGGGATGCGAACTTGCACAAGAAGAGAAGAGACGTAGAAACAGGCCCCCTCATGTGTGTCTGTGTAACGAGACCCTCGCATGTAGCTACCTGCTTCTCAGCTGCTCGGCCACCAGGCCTGTCTGATCGCGCGGGCCCAGAGCTGCCTGCCCACGGTGCGGTACCGAGCATCACCCTTCTCCCCTCTTCGGCTTCCGCCGTGCCTGGCTGAGTGCGGCTTCCTGGGGGCAGGTATGTTTCCCAGATGCTCGTCCCCGGACGCGCGCTGCTGGTCTCCTGGGGGAGCACAGAGGGCAGATCACCAGTTCCTGACCTGAATTTGACAGTGTCGAGGATGTCTCAGCTACCAGAACTCCTCAGAGTTTGAGCCTGGTGATGGAGAAAGGGTAGCCTTGGCCGTGGTGACGGACCTCTCGAGGGCGCCCAGTGGTGTGTCTGCTGAATTCTGACTGTCAGGGCTCTCATGGCAAATGGGCTTCTTTTTCAGACTCTCTACTTTGTGGAATTGGTCCCCTGTGCTTTACTTTCTTGTTGCTGTAATTCTGATTGATGAAAAGTACCTCTTGCAGCAGAGTCTGCACCAGGGAAATGTGACCAAATTTCTTGACTAAAGGGAGCCTTTGTGCAGGAATTAGCCACTTAGCCATGGGTAGCCTGCGATACTAGAAGGTGTTAGGACCAGCGCGTCCAGCAGTCCTTGCCCGGGTCCCCGAAACTGTGTCCTGGCCGCCTTGTTCGGCACGAACACGAGCTGCTCAGGGCTGCGGTCTGGGAGCTCCCTTTGTCTGTCTTATTTCCCCAGGAGGTGGCCCCTCTGACGGCAGGGCTGTGTCTGGTCTGTCTGATGGTCTCCCAGCAAGCAGCGCTGCACTGAGCATTCAACAACGACTGTGGGGCTCAGCTGATTGAAAGCTGGCGTGGTTTGAGATATGACATTTGAACTCTGGCGTCTGTGCTAAGCAGGCAGTCCCACTGCTTTCACAGCTCCAGCCAAGGCACGGGGAGGGAGCCTGTCCCCTGGGGTGACCAGACACAGAGGGCCTCAGGCTCTGAGGCTGCACCCCCAGATCCTGAGAGGCAAATTTCTCCCCCAAGAAGCCTGCAGGCAGCAAACCTACTGCTGACCCAGCGGTCCGTGCTGAAGTGAGACCTGCTGCCCACGGAGCAGGCTCGAGGGGCACACACCTCACAGCCAAGCCCACCCCCTGCCTCTCGACCCCCAGTCTCCTGACCCTCGGCCTCCTGACCCCCTAACTCCTGACCCTCAGCCTCCTGGCACGAGTCAATGGTGCCTTGACGCTGGACCAGGGGACAGGAGCCAGTCCACACAACAGAGGCCTGCGTGTGTGTGTATTTCAGTTGATGAAGTGATTGGGTAGGACAAGAACTCACTGAAAGGTGAAGAGAAGAAAGGTTTACTCATCGTGGTTGTTCCTGTCCG